TGGCCACAGTGGGTTGTCAAGATGCCCAGAGCCTCCTCCATTTGCCCCAACAGTAGGCAGACCACTCCCCAAACAGTGGCAGTGACGGGCATCCTCTCCAGGACTGTCTCATGCATGAGGGAACCAAATGTTCCTGAGGAGCGGGGCCCAGGGAAGTTGGGGCCAACATGGCACCTTCAACTCAGGGAGTCTGAGCAGGTCCAAGTTCATCATCAGAATAAGAAGACCCCAAAACTGAGTAGCTAGAAGCAAAGAGGAAAATAATACTCTCTTCTCTTGAAAACTTGAATTTTAGAAAATTTAGCAGAATATAGACAAGGAAAGAAGTCTCAACATCCATTATTCACTCAACATTTATTAAGCACCCATGAAGTGCACTTGTTTAGAGCTGTGCATTAGTCTGGAGGGTCTAGTTGATGCTGTGGAAGTAAATTAATAACTTAACCCCCAAATCTCAGTGGTTCAGTACATCAGTATTTTATTTCCTATTAACCCGAAGTCTGTGGCATGTCTAGTGGCTCTTGAGGACAATTCCCTTCCAAGTAGCAATTTGCGGCTCTGGCTTCTGGGGGAGTCCTTATCATAGCAGTGGGCTCTCCACCCAGAGGATGGGGACCGTGATACCAGAGGCTCACACCTGGGCTTCCAGGAGCTTTGGTCCTGAAGTACCAAATGTCTGCCCGCAGCCCATTGCCCAAGGCTGGTCAAGCCCCTGAGCAGCAGCACAGGGGCTGACAGACAGAGCACATGAATGTTAGGTGAGACTGACTTACGGGGGTTGGCTACCCTCCAAAGCCAGAGCCTGAGGTCTCAGGAGTGATGTACTCAGATTGACTGGAGGGACTGCAAAGCATCCCTTACCTCCTGGAAGATTTGCCTCCCTCCCTCATCCTAGCAACTTTTGAAACTTTCTATGTGACAGGCCCTGTGCTTACCCTGGGTTCCAGAGCTGGAAGACAGCCCAACCTCAGTGTGTTTGTAGCAAGAAAAATGTGTACATGACAGTGGCGGCAGCCACTGGGGCCTGGAAGTGTCCATGCAGGAGCTGATGATGACAGGATACCGAGTTGAGTCTGAATGAGATCATGAGCCCAGCCAGGGGTGGTACAGAGCCAAAGGAGGGTGGTGAGCACGTGGCAGGGAGGCAGAAGATGCATGCTGAGGCCAAGGTGCTGCTTACATGAAAATAACCCAAGACTGCAGCCTATTCCAGCAGGGGACACCAGGTACAGGGTGTCACCCCAGGCACTGCCCACCTGGAGGCTGCCCCTAGGGCAGCGCTCGCATGTCAGTACTTTGCTGTAGCCTCATTTCATCAGGTGGAATTGAGCTATTTGGGATTTAAAACTTTGTGGAGGACCACAAAATTGCATTGAAGGGAAGCCCACAACAGGAAAGTGGCACTAAGGAAATGTCTATGGAAGTATCTGGTGAGGAAACCAACCAGGCAGGTAGCCCTGAACAGGAGGCAAGAGAAAACTGATGCTGGATTATGCCTGTGTCGCCACAGGGCTGGTATGCTTTATCAGTGCTCATAGATAGAATGTCAGTCTTTCACAGTGTATCGGTTTTCAAGTATAAAATGAGCAGATCATAAAAGGGACCTGTGTCACATGAAACCCCTTTGTGCAGAAGGGATGTGGGGTTTTCTATTAAAAGGAAGCAAGGTCAAGGCCAAGTGTAGAGTGCTCCAGCTGGTGGGCATCTTGCATGAGAGAGGCTGGAGAGGTGAATAGACAGGATCTTCAGCTTAGGAAAGATACCTGGATGGAAGAGGACCACACGGGCTGAACTGTAGTGCTTGGAGATGAGCCAGCCAGGGGCCTGTGGCTCAGCACAGAGACGTCGTAGGGGTTCAGGTGGTTAGAGAACTTCAGCAGCAGTCTGTGAAGGAGTGGGTTCCCGTGGCTCCATGAAGGCTAGACCGCCACTCGCGGGTTGCAGAGGAAGGATTTTGGCGTGGACTGGAGCAGAGTGTCTGTTCCCATCGGGCCCCACCTCAGGCAGTTGGTCACTTTCCAATCTGAAGAGCAGCTATTTGAGCCCTCAGACCGCCCTCCAACCATGTGGCACCTGGGAAAACTCCTAATGTCCCAGTTACACAGGCACCATGTCACCTGTGGAGCATGGCCTGGGTCATGGAGGAGGAGAGCGGTTATTTTATGTCCCGTGATTGTGCCCTTACCTTATGGACCAGTGGTGTTCAAAGGTACTTCTGAAATTTATGCAAGAATCAGCCGCCTAAACTGAGCGTGAAGGACTAAGACTTTCTCAGCAGAGCCAATCCATGGATGTGAACATATCCACATTCTGTGTATAACTGAACTGCTGTGCGTATAATAAATGGAGAGTAATCTGATTATATCATAAATTAATGGCCACTGCTGCATGCAAATGTGAGTTTTTACGGGACCTCTGTTTATGAGCGAGTTTTCCCTGGCACATCTATTGCTGAGCCATTTTGAAATTCATGTTGATTTTTTTTAATGTTACACCAAGGACTATATAAAGAAGGGTGAGGCTATGTAAGCTGTATTAACGCTCTTATCATTCACATTCATAACAGTGTTTAGTTGCAATTGTGTGATCTGGTCTGTGCCTTTGCGATGAGAAGAGTGTGTGTGCGACCTTTATCAATGAAGTGATTAAGAAGTGCTTTTCATTCCATGCAAGTGTCATGATGGAGAGTAGGGTAAGGGACTGTCCTGAGTCACCACACAGCAGTCCTCATCGGGTTCCACAGCCAGCAGGGTGATGCGGCTTACGTAAAGTGTGCTGCTGGACCTGGCAAGTGTAGACAGAGCAGCAGCTCAGGACCCTCGCCATCTAGCAGGGAGGTAAGACATGCACTCGGAGCTGAAACAAAGTAGGAAGTGGTCGAGTCCTTGGGTTTCAAATAGTACCGCAAACATCCACATGAACAAACTCACGGGGTCTCAGTCCCTGGCCCACGTCCCTGTGTACACTGACCCCTCCCTCCTCACCAGCCCACAGGAACTGACAGAGGGCCAGGATCATGGTTCCTTAGACTAGGAGGGGAGAGAGGTTTCTGAGAAAGGTACATTAGTATCTGGGCTGGCTGGCTGTCAGTGAGGTGGACCTTTCCATCAGCAACCCTCCTATAGAAATGGAGACCCCGGGAGTTTCACTAGGAATTGTCTTGACCTGAGTTGCTTTGTGACATCACTGGTTAGTCCCAGTCCTGATGTGGCGAACAAGGATGCACAGCTCTGAAGCTGTAGGAGCTCAGGACCTGTCAACCCCCTCCTCACCTCACACACACAGTGATGTGGATTAACTGCCGTTTCTGTGGCTGTCTTATCACCAGCAGAGGGACAGCCATTTGCTAAACCACTGCCCGAGACATCACCATTCTCTGTGCGTCAGGAGCAACCTCGGGAAATGGAACCAATGGGGCTCTTTTCTAGGTGTATTGCTTTGCTTTGTTGTAAAATCAAAATTCACCAAGTAAAGGCAGACCGGTACTTCTCTGGGTTACAATTGTGAAGGTCACACCAATCACAAATACCTGGGATGGTCTTGAAGGTACCTTAGAAACAACAATGATGACTACCATGTGAGGCTGTCCTGAGGCTACATCTGGGAGTGCCTGTGGTGTCAGGGCCCGGGGCATGTAGGGCCTTGCCATATCTCCAAGCTCATGAGCTGCTGCTGGCCTCAGAGCTCCCTACTCCATGCTGCCTCCAAGAAAGGGAAAGAAATTGCCCAAAGGCCATTTCCTCACCTCAGGAGGTTAGAGATAGGCCTGGCGGCTGGACAGAGCTGAGGGAAGCTGTAGGTCACAGAAGGTCCAGGAGCGGGGAGAGGTAGAAGCCTCAGCTCCTGTGCACACCTGGGGTGCACAGCTCTTTGGCAGGATGACAGCCTTCTGACTCTTGGCATCCTCTGCACATTTGAGCACAAGAGACACAAAGTTGCCCAAGTGGCTTTCCCTCCTCTTCCACTGGCCCCACACCCCTGAGGGCGAGAACCCAGGAAAGCAGAAAGCCGTCTTCATTGTTAGTGTGCAGTGCGTCCAAGTAGCCATAGAGCTCTGTAGCTACTCTGCGGGAGCTCACCAGTTAGCCGACAAGAAAGCATCGTGGCACAAAGCACTGTGGGCGCTTCGGTAGTCAGACAGACCCACACCCAACACTGGGAGGGATTAGGCTCCCAGACTCCTTTAAATATAAAATCTCATTCCTCCTAACTCTGAGTTGATCTGGGAAAAACCACATCTGCAAATGCCATTTTTATCGATTAGATGAGGCCAAGATCTTTCTGTAAAAATAATTTTTTTAAATACAGAAAATTGGCAATTTGCCTTAAAATTTTTATTGAAGTAATTCTAGTCTATTTGAATAATGCTGGGAGATAAAACCCCCCATTATGCCTTTTTAAATAAATTATAATTCAGAAAATCTCAATAAGAGAAAATGACATAAAAGGTACCTAGCTCACTTCTTATCTTGTTTTCCTCCTAGTCTCTCTTGTTGGATGAACGTAATTGGCATCGCTTCAAAGAGAAAATGGGGCCTTTTCCTTCCTTGAATCAAGTGGCATTCACTTATTCAAGTTTTAGGATGGAGTATGCTTTTTGAAAGATTTTCTTCTCAACCTTAGCATAGTTCCTTTTACATATAGGTACCCAATTAAAAAAAAAACTGAAGTTTTTTTTTTTTTTTTGGAAGGGTTGTTTTAATTCTCTATAGTCACAACTGCATTCCCATCAGTGAGACAAATGCATTCTCTTTGGGTGGACAGGTCATATGGGAGGCAATGGTTCTCTTGCTGAGAGCAATGGGTTTCAAACTCTGATGTGTCTTGTGGATCACCTGGGATCCTGTTAAAAGCAGAGTCGAGGCCTGAGACTCAGCATTTCCAACCGTCCTGCAGGGCCCACTGTGCATGGCGCAGAAGCAGCTGCTCCCCTGCAGCACAGGTGTGGCACCTTCACGGCTCCTGATGAGAGCATTGCTGTTTTGTTTTGTTTTTTTCAGCTATGACACTCAGGGAAGAGGCTACATTACTTACCAAGAATTTCTACAGAAACTGGGGATTACCTATTCACCTGAGATCCACCGGCCCTACACAGAGGATTATTTCAACTTCCTGGGTCACTTCACTAAGCCCCAGCAGATCCAGGAAGAAATCCAAGAGCTGCACCAGATACCTGACAAGACCATGCCAGCTAGGTTGGTTTGTGGGTCCTGGGGGAGTGAGGGGAGGGGAGCGGGACTGGGTCTGAACACTGTTCTCCATTTACCATGGCAGCCAAAGTTGCATTAAAATGGTGCCTTCCAACTTCTGGCAAAGATGCCATAAAGGTGGTATATTTATTCACTGCAATATATGGCTTCTAGACACTGGTGCTAAGTCAAGGAGCCACAAAGTAGTTAAAAAGCTTTGAGCCTGTCCTGCCTCACCCAGTCGGTCTCATACCATCCGTTCCTTTGGCAATAACCCTTTTTGGTTAAGTACTGCATAGTACCTGTCCCAGCCCTGGCCCAAGTAGAATGTAAGCCTGTAGGATGTCTGTCACTTTCCCCAGTTCCTGACACCTGATAGGCACCCATAAATATTGTGAATGGGTGCATGACTCCTTTTCACTCACCACTGCTACTTTGCAGACTTTTTCCCAAAGAAGTAAGTCAGTATAGCTTAGTAATGGCAAGGTGTGACTTGCAGTGTGTCTTTAACAACCAGAACACCTGCCAATCCCAGGTTGGCATGCTGGCTTAGTGAGGCGTGGCCCAAGAAACTGCAGTAGCATGCACCTAGTGAAGTGGGTGTAGGGAGCCTGGGAAGCATTTGTGATAGGGCCAAAGGGCAGTTGGAACAGTTTGTACACCACAGTCAGAATGACGTCAAATGTATGAGTATGTCCACAAGAACCAGGAGACACTGTGCAAAAGCAAGGCATTGGGTCTGGATGGTGGAATAGCACATGGTTGTTTTCAAAGTTTAAACCTCTTCCTGCCCTGTTTTAGCAATGTTATAGCATTGGAGAAAATTGTGCTATGGGTGATGTGGCCCTGTGACAGTGAGACGGTTTTCTTGGCCGATGTACAGCAGTCCCATCCCCAGCAGACACCCACACTCCGTGCACATGTGGCTCTGCTATGGCTCCCTGTGGCCGTTACCTGTTTATGTGTCTGTCCTCCATCTGTCATTTCAAACAGCAGAGCTCAATTCTCTGCCCCATAGCACCTGAATAAATGAATGACTTGCTGTTAGAGTTCCCAAAGGTAAGAAGCCTGCCCCAAATACAGGGATGAGACATAATAATAGCATGAGGTTTGAAAGGAAAGCCGTTGAAATTATCCCTGGATTCTGTCTAAGTTACTGAGTCACGGCACCCGAAGGCAGAGGATGGAGTTGGTGAAATTCAACGGAAACTCTGTGCAAGATTGGTATAAATCAAATCTGCCATAAAGCTGATGAAAAAGTGGAATTTCTCTTCAGCAGACAGGGCTGGCCTCATTACCCACTCTTGTCTTCACTCCTCGTCTCTCCCGCCCCGTGTGAGTAATGAGGCTCTGTAAAGAAGCTTCCCCTCTGCTCTCCCGCCCGCGCACTCCCTGGGTCTGGAGATCATGGGCACTGGGGCTTGGCTGAAGAGCCACTTGCCCTCTGACGATGCGTTTCCAGCCACTTCCCACCATCGGGCTCAGTTAGCTAACTCACATCCATTGTCCTTCTGCCACAATCGCACTCTCTTACTGCAGATTTTCTAAAAACTACCGCCTTGTGACCCCAGTTCACATGACTCCAAGACTTGGTGTTCCAGGATCATTTTACGTCCTCATTTATACCTAACTCAGCTCAGATTGGAATATGAGAGCCACGTTAACTTAAAGGGGTAGAAGTCTTGTGTTTGTCTCTTGAATCTAAGGGAGTTAATGGTAGGAGTGCCCTAAATACACTTCAAAATTTAAGAAAAATCCTTTTTTTAGCCTTGCTTCTTTTCCAGACTTTGGTTTTTGTTCTTTTTCCTGTGTTTGAGTTGGAGATTGAGCCTCAGAACAGCAGCAGTGAACAGCCACACATCACAGGCTGGTTCTAGAAGGCATTTGGAGAGGGCTCAAGCAAACCCAGCAGAGCCCTGGGTGTGGAGAGGAAAGCATGAGAGGCTTGGTGGCTGTGCTTCAGGCCATGCATGGCAACATCCTCCTCTGGCTCACAATCCAGACCAGAAACCGGACAGGGACCCAGAACAGCTTTGTTGCTCATTGTGGGCCAACACCGCCTCTGTTTGGCAGTGTTCTGTGATCTATGCTCCAAGCCCTCATTTACTCTGTGCACATATTTACTCTGAAAGGGAAATAATTACTGCCTAGAAGCCAGTCCAAGAAATACTGAATGCCTCAATTTTCTAAAAATATGTATCACCAAAAAGTGTTTTGATTTTTTTCTACCTTCATTTGCTTTCATTTTGAAGGATTAAGTGAGCTATAATAGTGGTGATGACGAGAAGTGGTTTTGCAACATGGGGCTGAATTCAGCGCACACCTGTAGGGGAATCCAAAGGCTGGTACTGCTGGTGTGCATTCACAGAACATTGGTGTGTCGTCTGCAGGGAGAGGCCACCAAGGGAAGGTGTAGACCATCCGGGTCCTTCTATGCAAACACCATGCTCCTCTACACCCCCCGTCAATGTTCCCGCTTAGTTTTGCTTCTCCTGGGTTTCAGCTTTTCCCTTCCCATGGATTGTTTTATTCCAGGCCTGCTTCAGGACTGTCTTCTCCTATGAATTCCTACCTGAGGAGTCAGAGAAGTACGAGAACAGATGTAGGGTTAGAACTGCTAGCACATTCTTCTCCCTGAGGAATGGGAACCCACATGGCATCTGAGCCCATCAGATAAGCCTTCTCCTCCATGGGGTAGGAAGAGCATTTCAGAGATCTGGATTAGCTGAGTTTACAGAAGTTAGACTCAATCTGCCGTAGATTAATTCTTCATAAGTTCCTGTTTTAGTTCAAGTCCAGGAAGAATTTTCCTGAACCTAACCATAGAGAAGCGGAAAATCCATCTTGGAGTTGGAACTCAAGCAAGATGCCACCCACCTCACCACCAGGGAAAGGTTGATCTCGTCCTCACCTGCCCTTGGGTCTGCATTGTCTTGTGTCTTGTCTATTGGGTGAGCTTGATGACCCCTTTGCAGGTCATTTGCTGAGAAGATCAAATGTAATAACAGCATGTGGAGGAACCAGCCTGACCCTGCTTTGTCTGTTGGTGCACAAAGTGGTGGCTGTTTGCAAAAGTAAAAGTGCCTGATCAAGAAATGAGTTATCTCTGGACATCTCATTTTGTTGTTGTTGTAGTTGTTCCTATCATGGATAGGACTCTCCCCCTCTCCTCCACTCCTGCTGTGGAGGGCCTGGAACTCAGGAAGCTCTTCCTGTAGCCACTTGTTTCCCAGTTTTTACTCCGGTGTGTCCATCCAGAGAAGCTGACCTGCGCCTCCCTGTGTAGAGCTGGATCAATGCCACACTGGGCTTCCACAGTCGCCTTCCTGCTCCTTCTCATTCCAACTAACACATGTGGCTTCCTCCCTGCAGCATAAACTCTTCTAAGGAAACCTGCTTGAGTCCTCTGGTGCCAACACCTAGAGCAGTGCATAGCCTGTAACAAGTACTCAGCAACATTTGCCGAGAGTGCAGGTGGACTCACATGTCTGTCATAAATCTCTGTCTTTCTAAATTCTTGGTTCCATTTTTAAAGTACCAATTCTAGTAAAAAGACAAGGTTGTAATTTCTCTAATGTAGTTTTGCTACTAGTACTGCTACTACAAATAAAATGATAATGATACAGACATCATTTTTTCTGTAAGTGCTACATCAAGCCTGCAAAACAATGTCCAAAATGGTTCTTAGGCCAGCGATCAAATCCTTTCGTGAGAGTGTTCACCAAGCATGTGATTTAAAGAGCTTTCTGGTTTTCCTGCTTTCTGTGTGTCTGAAGTGCTTTCTCTTTCAGGGATAGGCTTATAGAGCACTATCAAGACATCAGCAAAGCACTCAGCACACAAGACAACTCTAAAACCGGCTCCATATCCCTCTTCAAGATGCAGAAGGTGCTGCAAGAATGCCTCTGCCCCCTGAAGGAAGAGGAGCTGACACATCTTCTCCACAGGTGTGTGTGTTTGTTTAATTAGGTGAAATAAGCTTCTTAGAGTCTGAAAAACCCCTGGCTGGCAGGCTGCTCCTGTGCTTTCTTCTGTGTCCCCTCAAGCAGCCTTTGACATTGAGATGATCCCGTGCTTCTATGGTCTGGGCTGTATTACAGTGGGCTCCAGTCAACCAAAGTGCAAAGAACAATTTGACCAGCATACCTTTTCCTGATGTGTCTAGCAGTGCAGTCATCACTCTCTGACACTAGTGGCATTGCCTCATGGCACTCATGAACCTCGGGAGGAGTTGGAGTCCTGTAAGGCTTTTTGGGCTGGGGCTGCAGCTCAGTGGCAGATATAGGATGTGCAAGGCCCTGGGTCTCATACCCAGCACTGCAAGACAGATGAAATCAAGTGTCCCCTTGCCTGGCCCTCATTTCCTGTCCCCGCAGTCAACAACTTCTATTGCTTTTCACTGACAGCCTTTGGACTAAGTGTCCCTGTTTCTAAGTGACAGGCTTATAATGCTTCTTGATTTTCTACTAGTAAGCAGTGCCTGTTGTCTTCCCACCAGTAAGATGTGGCTTCAGGCCTTTCTGCATCATCTACCACCAAAGGTCACCCCGCAGCTCCACCTTCCCACACTGGAGGAAGCACGTGGGACTGACCTCCACAGGTGTCCCGCTTTTGGGAGAGCCACGTTCAGGATCCACGTCTCTGTGACAAACTGACCACTTTTCTTTTCTACATAGCATTTTCCCACCAAGGTTAAACAAGCCTATTTTTCCTGTTTTCTTGGTTTCCACTAACTAAATCCCCAGCTCACCCTGGTCAGAACATCTCTTTCCCATGCGTTCAGATGTGTCAGCCAGCCTGTCAGCTTCTTCTCCAAAATAGCCTTCTACATGTTCCTCAGTTCTGACAAGGTCTCTTGATTTATTTCACTAATGAGTTTTTCTCTTTCATTCTTTCTGAAATTCCTATTATTATTGAACGCCGAACCCATAAACTGGTTCTCTTTTGAAATCTCTCTCATTTTCCATCTCTTTTGCTTTTCACTCTACCGTCTCAGAGTTCCTCAAGTTTAGCTCCCAGCTCTTCTCTTAAAGATTTTTATTTCTAGAGCCAGACATGGTGGTGCACACCTGTAATCCCAGCTACTTGAGATGCAGAGATCTGGAGGATAGCAGTTTGAGGCCAGCCTGGCCAAAAAGTTAGCAAGACCATACCTTAACAAATAAGCTGGGCGTGGTGGTGTGCACCCGTGATCTCAGCTGTGTGGGAGGCAGAGGTAGGAGGATCACAGTAAGAAGCCTGTCTGGGCAAAAACATGAGACCCTACCTGAAAAGTACGTAAAGCAAAAGGGCTGGGACTAGGCTCAAATGGTAGAACACTCCATACCAAGTGTGAGGCACTTAAGTTCAAACCCCAGAACCACAAACAAAAAACAAAAAAAGAAAGAAAGAAAAAGAAGACGGTTCTGTGTCTGCTTCCATAGCTGCATTCCTAATTAGCAGTGCTCGTTTTGTTCTCTGAATGTTCCTTGTCTAACACATCCTTATGCCACAGACGCACACTCTCGTTTCTCTTCAATTAACAATAGACTTTTTAAAAGGATTTTTTTGTTTTGGTTTTTTTTTTAGCTGAGAAGTCTCTCTTCAGTGTTGATTTTAAAACAGTCCTTCGTGTTGGGTGGTTTTCTCAAAAATATGCTTCTATTAAAGAACAGGCTTCTAAAAGCAGATTAGAAGTCCTACAGGTAGGTGGTGAGAACTGGAGGGTAGCCTTCCATGTTGTTTCTATGGGGTGCTGACCCCAGATGTCAGTACCTTTTGAATTTTTCCTTGGGGCTGGTCAGACTTTCCAGCGAATAGAGCTGTTCAGGCTGTCCAGTACAGGATGTCCTGTTAAATTCATAGTGTTAAGTATCTCCCGTGCACTACTTAGGATACATTTATACTAAAGAAAAAATTTGTTGTTTACCTGAAATTCTATTACCGGTCATTCCTTTAAGCTTGTTGTTTGTTTGTTAAATCTCGCAGCCCAACCAGAGAAGAGTGTAGGATGGGTGTGGAAGTTGAAAGGTCCCTCATGTGCAGGTCAAGTGATGCCCCAGGGCATCCAGGTTCCAACTCCGCACTCACTTCTGAAGGATAATCTCACTTGCTCCAGACTTCTAGGTGAACTTTTTGTCTTTCAACACTTTAAATATTTCTTCTTTCTCATGTGACCTCTGATAAGAAGACCAATGTAATTCTTGTCTTTGTCCTTCTCTAAGTAAGTTTGTTTTTTCTCCCCTCTGTTTTCTTTCAAGATCTTTCTTTCTATCTTTGGGTTTTCTCTAATTTTACTATGGTATACCTATTGTACATTTTTCAGTATATATCTTGCTTGGTGTTCTCTGGGCTTTGTGAACCTGTGGTTTGCTGTCTAACGTTAATTCTGGAAGAGTCTCAGCTATTATTACTTCAAACATGTTTTCTTCTCCTGGTATTTCAATTAAACAGACATTTCTGGAGTGTTCCCTCAGTTCTTGAACATTCTGTCTTGTTCCTTTTCCTCATTCTTTTTTTTCAATTTGCATTTCAGTTCAGTAGGTTTCTTGTTGCGAGCAGGCGACGGTATAAAGTTGACCATCAGTCAGGCGCTAAATGAATTAACTTAAGCAGGAACTAAGTTGCTCATACACACACTTTATTGCAGGGAGTTACAACCTCACCCAATAGCGCCTCAGCCTTCCCCAAGCTGTGCTCACCTTGCGATCTGATCTTAGTCCACCAGCGGCTGGCTACAAACAGGTGCTGGCTAGTTCTCAGTCTCCATAGGCCCCCAGAACACCCAGGGAATCCGAGGGGCCGTGCGGAGAGTGGTCCACCTCGTCCGGGTCTGCTCTCCTCTGGTGTGATGCATGTTGCTGGATCGGAAGGAAATGGTGATGTTCTCGTGGCAAGTGGAGTTTAAATATTTGTAAAGGGGCGGGTTATCAGAGCTAGCTTAGGGTTGCTTCATCTGCATATTGGCACCAACTTAGGGTTGGCTGATTTGCATATTGGGCACCATATGGTATGTGTTTACATCATAGGGCTTTCAAGTGCACACAATATTATTTTCATATAGGTTTTACAGTATGTTATATTTTTATATCATTTTCAATATTTTTAATGCACAGCAAACATAATACTCATAACATTCCTACTGACATGCTTCAAGCTCGCTAATTCTGTCCAGTCTTGTCCAGTCTACTGATGAGCCTAACAGAGGCATTCTTCACTTCTATTACCCTGCTTTTGCTCTCTGGCATCTCCTTTTAATTCTTTCTTAAGAGTCTCCACCTCTCTGCTTAAGTGACCATTTGTTCTTGCATGGCATCTACCTTACCTTGTGTCCTCTACATACTAGCCACAGTGTTATAAACTCAGACATGTGTCACATCCAAGTCCTGTGGTGATGCTTGCTTGTCTCTTCCAACTGTTTTTTCCTGCTTTTTGGAATTCCCTGTGGTTTTGTTGTTGTTGAAACCTTGTGAGGTTTTATGTGAATTTGGCCAGATGTTGGGCTGTGGTTAATATCTGCCATAACTGTCAATGCCAAAGGCCACAGTTTCCTCCAGTGTCCTTTCTTGGTTCCTCCTGGTTTCTCTGGTTTCCCTAGAAATGGTTTCTGAGTGAGTTTCGAGCATTATTACTTGTAACCCACATGGATAACACCAGAGCCAGGAGATGTGGGAGCATGGTACTGGGGAGGGTGCAGGCTCCGTATGATTGATGCTTGGGCCTTTTAGAGCTTCAACCTTCAGAGGTGTCTTAGCTTTTTCCTCCTGTTTAGGTAAGACAGGAAAGCTAGAGGGGCTTGGAGGTGGCTCAATGCCCTTGCTTCAGCTGGGTCTTTTCCTTTGGAAAGTGTTATAGAGCAGGCTCTGGGCAAATTTCACATGGCTTGCTTTTCCCTTCTCCTTGCCAAAATATGAGGGAATCTTTTTCAGGTCTTCACTGTGAGAACCTGGTGGAATTCCTGAAAGTAAAGCCCAGGAAACTGTGGGGCTCTGAGATGGGGCCCCCGAATGTCTCCCTCCATACTCAGCCTCTCTTGGGTTTCCTCATTACCTCTTATGTGTTCCTACCAGCTATGGCACCAAAGGCTTTTGCTCCAGAAGTACAGGTACTGACTGTGAGTCTCTGGATGTGCCTCTCTTTCCAGATTTAAGGGTGACATTTTCCTTGTGACCTGAGTTCTCTCCTAGGTTCAAGGAAAGCCATTAGTGTTCAGTTTGTTCAACTTTTTATGATTGTTAGAATGAGAGTGACACTTCTTGGTTCTATACACGTCCCCTATTCCCTCCTTCTCTTATCTTTTAATTTCTTCTTTTGCTGGAGTACTTCCCGAAGTAATTTTCTAAGAAAGGTTTGGCAGGAAGTAAATTTTCTGAATTCTTTTTTTCTGAAACTTAAAAAAAAAATTCTTCACTCAATTTATTATCTTGTTTGAGCATACCATCCTAGGGAGAAAATCATTTTCCCTTAAAATTTTGAAAACATGGCTCCCTTATGTTCTAGCTGTGAAAAGGCCAATGCCTGTGTGTGTGTGTGTGTGTGTGTGTGTGTGTGTGTGTGTGTGTGTGTATCTGTGTGTGTGTGCATAGAGAACAGGAGGACCATTTCATCTTCAAGTGCTTATGTGTTCTCTTCCTTAAACAGGGTCTCTTCTTACTGATTCTGTTTCTATTTCCAGTTGAATAAGAATTCATACACATTCAATGAATAAATCATGGAAAATAGCAGATAAATAATTAACGAGCGATTATGAGAGAGGCTTGTTAAAACATAGTCAAGCTTAATACTTCATAAACAGCAACAAAAGCACTTGGGATTTCTGTGGCCCACCTCTCAATGTGGCTGAAACCTTAACAAGGATGTGTTACTCAGTCACTGTCTCTTCTCAAAGATCCTTGATAGCATCTCAGCTATTGCTAATTATATGCAGATTATTCTTTTCTAGATCCAAAATAGACTTTTCTAAATACTACTGAGGAGATTAGCATATGCATTTGATTTTATTACTACATTTTAATACAGCCTTGACAATTCATCCGATGATCAAACACTGCTGGTTGTCCTTTTCCTCCATGTCCCCACCACACAGGCTGACCCCACGCAGGTCTTCTGCAGCTGCGACTTGGAAAAGTGGGGCTCTTGGCTTGTTTTTTTTTCATTTTTCAGTCTTTTTTTTTTTTTTTTTTTTTTGAGACAGGGTCTCACCATGTAGCCCAGGCAGGTCTTGAACTTGTGATCCTTCTGCCTCCACCTCCTGAGTGCTGGGGTTGTAGGCGTGGCCATCACACCTGGCTTGTACCCTCCTCTTTAGAGGCACTGAGTCACTGGAAACTCTTCTCTCCAGCTCACCAGTGCCCATGCCATTCCACCCTGACCCTTGCAACCCATCCAGCTGGAAGAAAGTTCAGGTGCTCAAGGGCCAGTACAGCCCCAAAAAGTGAAGTTGTAGAAATGTGATCTTCGAAGACGATGAAACTGTACTCTGAATTACTTTGCACCCTCAATAAAGATGCTGTGCATTCTCAGAGAACTTTGGATTTGATCGACAGTCTGTTCTTTCAGAATCTGAAGGTAATTTGTTTCCATGTCAGAGGTGAGAGCACAACTTGTTTCTGCACAGACGTCCTGTGGAGACGCATGTCGACATGGAACTTTTCTTGGAGGAGATATTAAGCTAGATAGGTTTTACACAGTTATTTTTGGAGAGCTTTGGGCTTGATGACTTATTTCACTGGTGCTTGGAAGACAGCACATGTTTCTCAGCTCCACTGTCCTTCCCACTGTCTCACCATCTTTACCTTTTCAAGTCCCATGGCCATGCCTCCCTGCAGGCCTCTTTAGTTAAGCCTCGACCACCACAGGAGCTGCCTATCTAGGCTCCCTGCTCTCCCACTGCTACCCACCACCCCTTGGTCTTTGACACTGCTGATGAATGTGTCCTCCCCCGGGACTGTCCCGCAGTGTCCTGTCCCTGTCAAAGCACCTGTGTTTGCCCCAGTTATGAACCCAGCCACTTTTGCTTGGTGCACTGGTGTGGTGGTCAGCATCCAAAGCTCTGAGCCATGCTCTCCAGCCTCACATTGTCAGGGCAGGGCAGCTGGTGGCCCTGCCAGCGGGGGAGACCCTCGCTCACCTCTCACAGCCTTCACCTTGCTCCTTGTGGTTGCAGTATTCACACATGCCTAATATCAGCGCTAACTGGCAGGTGTGCACATCAGGGAACAGTATCTAAGCTCATTCATTCTCTCCACCCTTCTCTGTGCTCAGCAGCTATTTGTTGAATGAATAAATGATAGGTTTTTAAAATTAATATGTTCCTTTCTTTTTGGGGGAAAAGCTGGGGAATCAGTTTGCATGAAAATTCCTTCAATTACTTTGACTTCTTGAGAGCACTGGAGAGCAGTATGCTGCCCAGATCTCAGTCCAGAGAGAAAGAAGAAAGCATGACAATTGACTTCTCCACCCTGAACCCAGAGGACATTGTGCAGAGCATCCAGCAGCTGGTCGAGGGCTCCCAGCTGGCCTTGCTAAAGGTATGGCAGACTGCAAAGTGCCACATGCAAAAATGCCCCCCAGACTCCTCCTCCACAACCCCACAACCTCTGTCCATTCTCCATGCATCTGTTTATCAAGATCAGACTTTACTTGAGAAACGTGCATCCATTTTTGGTGTATGCAGGGCTGTCCTGATCCTGCCCCAGCATGTGTTCTTGGAGTGGTGGTGCTCAGCATTCCAGATGTGCCCAGAATGGGTGAGATGAGGGGTTCTGCAAAGAGGGCAGAGGACAGAGGCCCTGGCATGCCCAAAAGCTCTGCACAGGCACAATGGGGATGAGTCCTGCAAGGTGGCCTTGAAGAGGTCCAACGGGCGAGGCTGTGCCACAAAGACATCATCAAGATGGCCAAGAGGCTGGGGGGCACCTGAGGAATGTGGTGCATCACAGCTCACACCTATGTGGCCCCATGGATGCAGTCAAGCCCTGGTGTACAAGTGGTGCTGGGAGCTCTGAGGTGTCCCTAAAGACAGCACTTTGGGACCATGCTCCTGGCAGTTGTGGCCCCCAGTTACCCCATCCTCACCCCTGTGGGTGTCCTCCCACAGCAGCAGTGAGGAGGGAAAACACTATGTGTGTACAGAGCATGCAGGCCAAATAAATCCATGTTGATGGCTTTGTCCCCTTCTAACCAAAAGTGGCACCACATCCATAAGGATGATTCTCAAGCTGAGGTCCATTGGAGTTCTGGGAGACACCAGGGAGCACTTGGAGAAGCGTTCCTTACTCGATAAGGTTCTGAGCAAGAGAGCGAGACTCTGGCAGAGAACATGGGAGGTGGGTTAGAGGGAGAAGGTAGGGCAGGGAGGAGAGGAAGGAGTGAGGCCATCTTGGGTGGACGTTGGAGAGGACACCAGACATGAGTGCATTGCTTCATGTCATGGTGGATGCCTCACACATATCTTGTTTCTGAAATGACAATGCCTCATAGTCATGCAGTGTTTTGTAGATTTCAAGATTCTTGCACCTGCCCTGTGGCTTGGCAGGCTGAGTTTCCACACGACTCCAAAGAGGTGCAGATCTTGTGTCTGGAGCCATGGACCCATCATCACTCTTAGGTGTGATTTTCACCACACCACATGCTCTCTAATGGCCTCGTGCACAACTGCACAGTGTGCCATGTTTATTTTTATGACAGTTCTCCTTGGCATGCAACGAGACCACTGTGTGCCAAGTACCTGCATAAGTGTGTTTTCCAGTGGACTGACTAAGCCTCACAGCTACCCTGAGTTAAGTCCACCCTCATAGCGAAGGAGGGAAGTCCAGAGAGGTCAAGGACTTGTGAGCAATGGAGCCCAGGTCAAAGATCAATCCCTGACCCCAGAGCCAGGATCTTCCCAATGTTCACTGCTGCCTCATATTACCGGGACTCTGTGGTATTAAAGGTTAATTTGGCTACACATACACCACACTCCAGGGTGCGCCTAATTAGCCAGAATGAAAGTAACTGCAAGGGAGATTGGCTTGAAGTTTTCAGGCACGTTAAATTCTTACTTAAAAAAAAAGATTGTAATCTACCACTTGATACAGATTTCCTAGTGCAATAAAAATGAATGATTCTGTTTCAACAGATGGAAAAATGTGCATTCTTTTTATAGCACGCTTTTGCACTTTCTTAGTTTGACTCTGAACTGCCAGATTCAGTTTGCAGCATGGATCCCCACCCCTCCAGCACAGGCCCAGTCCATGGCTCTTCTCCCAATGCAAGGCCACTCAGGCTGTGGCCAAGGGTCCAAAAGTACAGCAGTCTCCATGTAAAAGCCTAGATGAGGGAGCAGTCCCCTCCTAGGCTTGCCAAGCCGGATGCCTGCCCAGGACCCTCCCTATTCCCTGGGCTCTCTTGGCCTCATGCTACAAGTCACTCATGTTGAAAAGAAGCTGGAAGTCAATGGTAGAGGGACCCTGTGCGAGCCGCCTTCTCCATCCCCTGTACAGTGGGAGCGGGGAGAGGTTCCATCAGGTTCTGGGTGCCTGGAGCCAGGGCTCATCTCAGCCTCTTCCTCACGTTCCAACGGGAGTGAGTAAGGCGAATTTCCTCTGGCGCTCAGAGCTCTCCTAGTGCACACATGTCCTCCACCAATAAGCAATCCAGAATTTACACGGGACTTCCATATACTCCATTTCATCTGCATTCAGCAGAAATTATACCTACGGAAATAACCTTTCGAAATATTTGCTTGGCAGTCACATTTGCCATCTTTTTTTTCTTTTGTGTTTTCAGGCGTTTTCTGCTTTGTATAAAGAAGACACAGGGTTCATTAAGGCTGCCGAATTTGGACAAGTCCTCAAGGATTTCTGTCACAAGCTGACCGATAATCAGTACCATTATTTCTTGAGGAAAGCAAGACTTCATCTAATGCCCTGCATACATTGGAAGTATTTTCTCCAGAACTTTGGCTCTTTCCTTGAGGAGGTAAGGCATCTGCAGCACATAAGCATCTCTTTGTGAAAAGGAGCTAAAATTAGTTTTTACAAAATGGGTAATTGATTAAAACCACATCAGATAAATTGGCAATCACTTCATGTAATTAGCTCATTCTAAATGAAAAATTGGTATAAATTCTTACAGTATTAGAAGGTGAACATGTCCTCTGCTTTGTTGGAAAGATTCCATTTTATTTTATTTTTCAAAGAGGTCTGAGAGCTTGCTTTTGTCTGGTTATTAGATTCTAAGGAATCTTAGATCCCAGTAGATGATCCAGTGTCAGAGAGGTGAGGCCCACTGTGCTAGGCCCTAGGCTGTGTCTCAGCAGAGGTGAATGTGGAGGAAGTGGGTTTCTGATAGAGGCATGCACGGAAGGAGAAAATTCCCTGGAAAGCCAGGGAAGGCTTCCTGGAGGAGGGCAGCTGACCATAGGCTCTTCTCTTTCTTCTTCCTGGACAATCTGGTGTCTGCACAAGCTGTTTGTCCTCTCTGCACACAAACAGACCAGCATTGTTAGCACAGTTAGGTCTAACTCAGACCACACCTCTGTCTTTGATCACCATTCCATGCTGCTGAGGGAGCAAGGACACTCAGATGCCTGGTCCCTGCCTTCATGAAAGGGAAGAGAAAATAAATGTGAAAAATTCAAAATACAATGCTGCAGCTGAATCACCAGAGACTTGTACCTGACCGTATTTAACACTCCCCTGTGGCTCACGTCTAACCATGTGATTAAACACCCAAGTTCATCAGTTCTCAGTCACGTGTCTAAAACGTCCCTGGAAAAAGATCAGCAGAGTGACGGTCTGACCCTTCTCAAGGCTTGAGATTAGTAACCTTAGCAGCAGTGAATGCCAGGGTCCTCCTGGGCCCACTGCTGTTCCCAGGCCTGTCTACATGGAGTGACACCTGAGGCTCGAGCTATTTACACCCCTGCTGAATAGATGAGGACACTGGCACAGAGACGCCCATCAGCCATGCACCAGGGCTTCTGATGGGCACAGCCCAGCAGCATAGCAACTTTTGTCCCACTGATCCTTAGTAAGGTCAGGTACTTGACAGGCTGCCAGCTGTCCTGGTTCTGCATCTGCAAATCGCCTGCAAAGGTTGCAGTATTGTTTGCCATGGGAGTGGCCTATGACATGTCTCTGCTCTTTTTTACCGTGACCCTCACTATTTTTTAGTGATTATACTTTCATGATTTTAAAAGAATTACATACTTATTGTGGAAACTGGAAAATGCAGGGAAGACAGAAAAGAAATTGGTCATGTCCCCCCACAATGATGGTGTGATGGGAACAACCATAAGCCCCATGCAGTGAGCACTGCCCCACTGTGTCCCGTCCATGGATCTGCCATGGCACTGTTCAGATGGAATGGATGGGCCAGGTCCAGAGAGTCACTGACCATGTCACCTCCCCTGGAGCAGCAAGGCGGGCTCAGCTTTAGAACTGGTGCCACACCAAAGTTCACTTCTTTGTATCTTCAGTTTTTCTTTCTACAGCGCAATGTAATTGGGTCTCTTGTTTTTTTTCACTTGTTAGATTGTCTCATGTCACTTAAAGATTTTCCAAACATCCAGCAAAATGTCTACACAACATTCTACCAGCTCCCTTATTTTTAAACATTTAGATATTTTTCCTAGTTTACAATTTTCCCTGCAGAAAATATTTTATATGTATATCTATATTCACATTTTAAACAATCTAAGAAATAAAATAACTGGGAGTCAAAGGATAGGAATCTTTTTAATGATTTTGAAAGGTGTTTTTAAATAATTTTTTCTATTGGGTTGAATCATATGAAGTCACCATTTTTAAAGTCATGAATGATTGAAGATTGACAATCCATATGGCTTAGTCTAATATTTGCAGGAGTCATTTTGTCTATTGTACGCTATTTTGAATGTGCTGATAACTTTGAAGAGGAGAATCGAAGTCCTCCTAGGGACAGCCATGTGGACATTTAGTTCCTTTCCACCCCTTCCACATAGGTCTTGGGGAGGGTGATGAGCAGACAGGACATGCTGTTGAGTTTGGGGATTTTCTGGACTCCCACTAGTCTTTTTTTAATGAATACTCTTTCTCTTCATTAAAACGATATGTGCCTATATAGAGTTAAAACTGAATGATAGTGAAAGGGCTGGGCCTGCCCCAAAGCCATCCTTCCCACAGATAGTCACTAATAGGCCTTGTTTGCCGACTTGCCAATGTGACAGGTGAGGTCACAGCCTTCTCACCCCAGCTCCGGTGCCCTGGCTGGCTCTCTCATGGCTCTCTGTGGCCTTCCCATTCCCTGTGACAGCCCTGATGGACCCCAGTTTTCATTTGCCCCTATGTGTGGATTTCCTTCCAGGTGTGTTCTTTCATTGTTTGGATCCTTTGTCCTGTCTACCAGCGTGTGTTTCCTGTGGGCCTGCAAGTACCAGGCACTGACCAGGTGCCAGGCCCAGTAACAAACAAGCAGACATGGTCCCTGCCTTCCAGAGACCTCCATTTCAGCCAGCCAGAAGACAAGGAATGACTTATAGATAAGATGTAGATTCCAGAGCATGTTAAAAAACATAGCAGGCTGTACAGCCACACAGGGGGCCTGTCTGGGAGAAAGGTAAAGGACATCTAGGAGAGCGGCTGAACCCCAGGTCTAGATCGGGGCACATAGGTAGGTTTGAGCTGTGTGTTCCTTTACTCTGCCTGCCATGAACATGAGGGTGGACATGAGGTACGCAGGTGAGGCTGTCAGAGGGGGGCAAGGCAATGAGGCGCCTCAGGGACCTCCTAAAGACTCACCAAGTCATATGGGAGAATCTGGCCTACTCAGGCTACTACCACAAAATACCCATGAAGGATCTGGATGTGGAGGAGGCAGGTAGGGCCACACCTCATCCACCTGCAGTCTTGCCTTGGAATGCCACAGCCATCCTTGCATAGAAGGACAAACATCGTCAGTGCTGTACCTGTGCAGTCAGGTCCCCTTGCACCAACTATGACCTGATACCTGACCCAAGGAGTCACCTTTGCCTCTGGAAGCACCTGCCCAGCTTCCCGTGCGAGAGTTAAGAGGAGGATGGGAGGTGTGATCAGAGACCGAGCACCATGATGAGATGGGTACCAGGCCCAGGTGAACCAGAAGCATTTCCCAGGAGGACAAACTGAGCTGAAAGGACAACGAGGCCCACGTGAAGGGTGACCTCAACAGTCTGGTCATCAGGAGCCACAGCGCACATGGGGTTTTCTTCTATCCCGTTTATCTGCCAGTGGGAGCAGGAGGTGGGAGTGGGATAGACCAGGTCCTTACCCACAAAGAAAGCTTCTTGCTCTGGGCCAAGAAGACCAGTTGGCGGCTCCTGAGCCAGGAGTGTGGCTCTTGTGAGGGTGGCTGGAATGGCAGGAGACTTCATCTCAAAATCTTCTGAACTTTAATCTTGTGATATTTAATAGAAGAGAGGAGAAGTAACAAGTAATAGGAGGTGTCAGTGCATCGTCCTTAAGCTCATTAAAGATGATACCAGTCATCCTTTCCCTCTAGGGGACACAGAGGAGACAAGTAATTAAAAAGAGATTACCAAAAAGTAATTAAGACGGTCGGCACCTCGCTCGCTAGGGAGGCTCACAAAGAGTAATCCCTAGCCCATTGACTCCATTCTTGGAAAAGGGAAAAGTGGAATTGTGCTTAAGACCTCGAGTCTTAAAACCCCAAGTGGATCGAAGTACACAGAACAAGATGACAATTTTACACCTGCTCACAATCTATCATATTGAGTGTACCTCAAAAACTGTCCTCAAAAACTTTCATTGATCTCTTATTGTGTGCCTTTCCCTGGCAGGCACTGCATATGTCCCCATCTCAGGTCCCAACTCTGCCCTGCTGCTATCTCCTGTGCTCTTTCAGCCTCCTGAAGCACCACTTGAGTCAGACACATTTCTGAAAGTGCAGAGCCCAGGCACTGGCCAGTGAAGATCAGCCCTCGGCAGGCCCGTAGGACTGTGCACAGCACGCTGAGTGAGAGCCTGTGTATGGATGGGAAGGTGAAGGTGACTATAGTCTCTGCAGACAGGAGCCAGGCCTGCGTCCCTCACCACCTGGGACCTGCCATACTTCGTGCAGGATGAGAAGCACGGGCCTCCACAGCATGAAGAAGAGGGACAAGGTGTTAGAGCTGCAGCACTGCCTGGGGCTTGGCAGAATAGAAGAAGAGGACCAGCACCAGATGCCAGCACGAGGCCCTGGTGACTTCTTCAAGCCACGTGGAAGTGCGTCTGCCCTCCTCAGCCAGGCTCCCTCTTGCTTCCAGGAGAACATTCTACAATCCAAGTGCTCAGTGTAAAAGATCAAGTATCAGCTTGCTTTTAGAAAAGCTCTCCTGTTTAACATTTCTGTTAAATTTTAGATGGCAATTTCAGTATCTTCTGTGAATATAAAAATAACACTCAGTGCAGAAATTGAAAATTTAAAAGATGTGGAAATCTATATGAAATCTTCCCACTTTATTACCATGGAAATAATGGAATTCTTAATGAAACACATGCTTATTCAATGCAGAGTCGTGATTTTTGTCACATTCAGGCAAGCAGAGAGCCAATGCGACCTCCTCTTACTTTGTATTTATAATGTATATATGATCTTTAAAGTCATTTCCTTACCTGTTAAATAACTCAAGATTATTTTCCTTGCAAGAGAGAATTTTAAGAATGTAGCTTTCAACCAAAGAGACTGTAAAGCCCATCAGAATGTTTGCAATTTTTATGAACGTCATATTTTTATTAGTTGCCATATTATATTGGTGTCACCTTTATTTATACTTCCTTTTACGATGTCCATGTATTTTTAATGAATGTGGTAAAGAATGGGGAAGTGTCCTTTTCAGGAGAGGCACTAAGATTGTTGGAAATAAACGTCATGTGTTATTAAGACATTATTACTCCTGCTCCTGATGGCAAGAGCAGCTGGGGCTTCTTGTGACTTCAGTGACGTCAACTTCATGCATT